GTTACTCAGGGACAGACACAGAATTGTTACTGAGGGACAGACACAGAATTGTTACTGAGGGACACAGAATTGTTTACTGAGGGACACAGAATTGTTACTGAGGGGACACAGAATTGTTACTCAGAGGACAGACACAGAATTGTTACTCAGGGACAGACACAGAATTGTTACTCAGGGACACAGAATTGTTACTCAGGGACACAGAATTGTTACTGAGGGACACAGAATTGTTACTCAGGGACACTGTTACTGAGGGACACAGAATTTGTTACTCAGGGACACAGGGACACAGAATTGTTACTCAGGGACAGACACAGAATTGTTACTCAGGGACACAGAATCGTTTAATTAAAGAGTATGTCAGACAACATGCAGAGGAGTGGCAGAGGAGGCAATGTTTTAGGAGCGAGCAGACGTGGCAGCAGAGGAAGGGGTCGAGGCAGCACTAGTCGCAGCCAGAGGCCAGTGCTCCCGGTGTCATCCAGCGGTCGTGTCTCCACCGACAACCCTGCCGTCATCGATTGGTTGGCTCGGTCGTCTTCCTCTTCCCAGGTCACCTCTGACACCTACAGCCAACGGTCGGTGGGTACGTCAGACACAACCGTTAGTTGGCATGGCCCGGGAGCAAGCCCACTGAAATCACGTGTCCTCTACCTGCCCCTGTCCTTTGGTGTTCCCTCACCAAGCGAAGTATCGCATGCTGTGGGCTCAGCCCCACTGTACAGTGAGGAAGAGCTAACAGAGGGCGGTCAGGAACGGGGGGAGACATCCGCCTCTTCAGCAGCCAGGCGAAGAAGTAGTGGCGAGGAGAGTGGCTCGGTAGCCGGTCTAGAGACAGGTCTGTCTCCTGACCCACACGCAGCCGAGGGGGCTAGTAGTGAGGCGGAGACCCTAATTGATGATGATGAGGCTGATCGCACTTGGCAGCCTCGTCGTCATCAGGCTATTGCTTCCGCATCATCAGGAGAAGAGGGTGGCAGCTTGGCAGCGAGCAAAACAGTCGGTGGGTTGCCCAGGAGGGCAGCAGGGTCGCAGCAGTGTCAGTGGAGGCAAACGGCCACGGAGTACAGCACCAGCTCCACTGCAGCCTACCACCACGGCCAGTAGTGGTGCCGGTGTGCACGGAGGAAGCAGCAGTCAGCCAGTGAGGAGTATCGGGGGCAAAGTTTCCTACTCGCGGTGTGGCAATTTTTTGTCAAGCCGCCCGAGGAAGTAAACGTAGCCGTATGTCGACTATGTGGCCAGAAAGTCAAGCGTGGCCAGGGGGCCCATGTTGGGACTACAGCGTTGCGTCAGCATATGCAGCGTCGCCATTTTGGTGGCTGGGAAAACCGTGATAAAGATACGGCGGTTCTGCCTGCCCCAGCCCCCGCTCCATCACCCGCTCCGTTACTTGCTCCGTCACCCGACGTCAATCGCCCCCTATATCAGCCAGTCAAGGCTCCAACACCTCTGCTGAGGGGAGTTGTCGCTCGTTGGCATCTTCCGCTCGTTCAGATGCTCCTTCTCCTCTACTCCTCTTCACGGATTCCGTCAGCAGTCTTTCTTGGAATCCGTTTCCAAGAGACAACAGTTTGCGAGCACGCACCCGACGGTGCAAAAGCTGAACGTCCTCCTGTCCAAGTTGCTGGTGCTGCAGTCCCTCCCTTTCCAAGTGGTGGACTCAGCACCTTTCCGAGAAATGATGGCTTGTGCCGCGCCGCGGTGGAGAGTGCCAAGCCGTCATTTCTTCGCCAAAAAGGCAGTGCCAGCCCTGCATTCACATGTAGAAGAGATGGTGGGCCAGTCTTTGAGCATGTCGGTCTCTGCCAAAGTGCACGGCAGCGCCGACGTGTGGAGCTGTAACTACGGTCAGGGACAGTACATGTCATTTACGGCCCACTGGGTGAACGTGGTGCCGTCACAGCCGCACCAGCAACTTGGACAGGTCACGCCGCTTTTGCCTCCACGTTTGCACGTCCTTGGTCCGGCAAAGATGTCCGCCTCTACCACCTCTTCTTCCGCCGTGTGTCCTCAGCCGCCACCCCCCGTGCCAAGTCCCATTACCCGACCGGCATATCACATGTGCAGGGCGCAACGGTGTCACGCTGTGCTGCACCTGGTATGCCTTGGCGAACGTAGTCACACAGGGGAGGAACTTCTCAGTGTAATGAACAGAGAAATCGACAGATGGCTGTCTCCGCGCAAACTGAAAATCGGAACCATGTTGACCGACAACGGAAAGAACATGGTGTCTGCTCTGCGTCAAGGAAGGTTGTGCCATGCGCCATGCATGGCTCACGTGTTCAATCTGGTTGTCAAGCGGTTCCTAAAATCCACCATCCCACTGCAAGACATCCTTAAAATGTCACGTAAACTTTGCATGCATTTCAGCCATTCCTACACGCAAAGCACACCCTCCTTGAGCTGCAGCGGCAGAACGGAATTCCACAGCATCGCCTGATCTGCGACGTTGCAACAAGGTGGAATTCAACCCTACACATGTGTTAGACCGCCTTTACGAACAGCGAAAGGCCATCACCGATTTCCTGATGTTACAAGCGGATAAAGGTACTCCCCTGTGTAACTTCGATGTCAGCCATTGGCAGCTCATGCGTGACACCTGCCGCTTGCTCAGGCCCTTTGAGGAGGCCACGCTATTCGTGAGTCGGCAGGACTATGGGATGAACGACGTCATTCCTCTGTTGCACGTCCTGGAACAAATGCTGTTAACAATGGCTGGTCAGGGTGCGGTAGACGTGGCGCACAGATCTCAACGCCACATGACCCCTGTGGGGGCAGGACAGGAAGAAGAGGAGGAGGTAGAGGAGGACATTTGTGCTCAGGAATTATTGAGTGAAATGGGTGGTTTTTCCACTCAGCGGACAGGAGTGGAGGAGCAGGAGCATCTGGTAGAGGAGGAGGAGGAGGAGACAGAGGACCCAGACGCACCGTGGCAGTATGCTGTGGAGATGGAGGCAGGGAGTCCCTCGCATTCCTTGGCACAAATGGCCCATAGCATGCTCGGTTGCTTGCGTAGCGACAGCCGAATAATAACCATCAGACAGAGGGATGACTTTTGGCTGTCCACCTTGTTGGACCCTCGCTACCGTTCAAAAATGGTGGCCTTTTTCACACCTGCTGAGAGGGAGGCCAAAATAACGTACTATAAAAACCACCTATGTAGTCAGTTGGTCTCTGCCTTTGTGCGCCAACGTCCATCCTCAGACACTGTGGGCCCTGTGCGCTCGCGTTCCGCTGCCATGGCAGCAGGGGAGGGGTGGGGTGGTAGGAGCAGTGGCAGCTCCACCAGCAGCGGCTGCCTCAGTCTGCAGTCGATGATGAGTAGCTTTCTTCACCAGCGCAGTGAGGAAACTACTAACCAGCCGCAGCAGCAGCAGCAGCAGCATCAGGTGGACCTGGAGCAGGACCTCAAACAACAGGCTTGGGCCTACTTGGACAGCACCCTGCCAACCGAGGTAGACAATCCCCTTGACTACTGGGCAACGAAACTTGACCTTTGGCCCCAACTAGCTGAATTTGCCCTTGAAAGGCTGTCATGCCCGGCCAGTAGCGTGGCATCGGAGCGCGTGTGTTTAGTGCGGCAGGAGGTATTGTAACTCCGCGGAGGACACGACTGTCCACCCAAAGTGTGGAGAGACTCACGTTTGTGAAAATGAATCAGGCGTGGATTAGTCTGGATTTCAAACCACCAGTTCCTGACACAACTGACTAAATCCCGCCATGAATCATGCCCCAAACATGTGCCACTTTCAGGTCTCCTCACACTGCTGGTGTGTTCCATTTTTTGTCATAGGGTGCTGGCAGATTACGGGCCTCCCATAGCTGCTGCCAGGCCCCTAATCTGCCATGGGCCCCCCCTCATGCTGCTACCGCCTCCTCATGCTGCTGCCAGGTCCACAGTGTCTCATGCCATGTGCCACTTTCAGGTCTCCTCACACACTGCTGGTGTGTTCCATTTTTTGTCATAGGGTGCTGGCAGATTACGGGCCTCCCATAGCTGCTGCCAGGCCCCTAATCTGCCATGGGCCCCTGTACCGCCTCCTCATGCTGCTGCCAGGTCCAGGTCCTCAGTGTCTCATGCCATGCGCCACTTTCAGGTCTCCTCACACACTGCTGGTGTGTTCCATTTTTTGTCATAGGGTGCTGGCAGATTACGGGCCTCCCATAGCTGCTGCCAGGCCCCTAATCTGCCATGGGCCCCTATACCGCCTCCTCATGCTGCTGCCAGGTCCAGAGTCTCTCATGGGTCCCTGTACGGCCTCCCATTGCTGCTGTCTCCATCGCCACACTCTGCCATGTGCCACTTTCAGGTCTCCTCACACTGCTGGTGTGTTCCATTTTTTGTCATAGGGTGCTGGCAGATTACGGGCCTCCCATAGCTGCTGCCAGGCCCTAATCTGCCATGGGCCCCTGTACCGCCTCCTCATGCTGCTGCCAGGTCCCAGTGTCTCTCATGGGTCCCTGTACGGCCTCCCATTGCTGCTGTCTCCATCGCCACACTCTGCCATGGCAGATTACAGGTCTCCCACATGCTGCTGCCCAGGCTTGTAATGGGTTCTGTCATACGGGGGCCCCTGTACCGGGCCTCCTCATGCTGCTGCCAGGTCCCAGGTCCAAGTCTCTCATGGGTCCCTGTACGGCCTCCCATTGCTGCTGTCTCCATCGCCCACACTCTGCCATGTGCCACTTTCAGGTCTCCTCACACTGCTGGTGTGTTCCATTTTTTGTCATAGGGTGCTGGCAGATTACGGGCCTCCCATAGCTGCTGCCAGGCCCCTAATCTGCCATGGGCCCCTGTACCGCCTCCTCATGCTGCTGCCAGGTCCAGAGTCTCTCATGGGTCCCTGTACGGCCTCCCATTGCTGCTGTCTCCATCGCCACACTCTGCCATGTGCCACTTTCAGGTCTCCTCACACTGCTGGTGTGTTCCATTTTTTGTCATAGGGTGCTGGCAGATTACGGGCCTCCCATAGCTGCTGCCAGGCCCCTAATCTGCCATGGGCCCCTGTACCGCCTCCTCATGCTGCTGCCAGGTCCAGAGTCTCTCATGGGTCCCTGTACGGCCTCCCATTGCTGCTGTCTCCATCGCCACACTCTGCCATGTGCCACTTTCAGGTCTCCTCACACTGCTGGTGTGTTCCATTTTTTGTCATAGGGTGCTGGCAGATTACGGGCCTCCCATAGCTGCTGCCAGGCCCCTAATCTGCCATGGGCCCCTGTACCGCCTCCTCATGCTGCTGCCAGGTCCAGAGTCTCATGGGTCCCTGTACGGCCTCCCATTGCTGCTGTCTCCATCGCCACACTCTGCCATGTGCCACTTTCAGGTCTCCTCACACTGCTGGTGTGTTCCATTTTTTGTCATAGGGTGCTGGCAGATTACGGGCCTCCCATAGCTGCTGCCAGGCCCCTAATCTGCCATGGGCCCCTATACCGCCTCCTCATGCTGCTGCCAGGTCCAGAGTCTCTCATGGGTCCCTGTACGGCCTCCCATTGCTGCTGTCTCCATCGCCACACTCTGCCATGTGCCACTTTCAGGTCTCCTCACACTGCTGGTGTGTTCCATTTTTTGACATAGGGTGCTGGCAGATTACGGGCCTCCCATAGCTGCTGCCAGGCCCCTAATCTGCCATGGGCCCCTGTACCGCCTCCTCATGCTGCTGCCAGGTCCAGAGTCTCTCATGGGTCCCTGTACGGCCTCCCATTGCTGCTGTCTCCATCGCCACACTCTGCCATGTGCCACTTTCAGGTCTCCTCACACTGCTGGTGTGTGTTCCATTTTTTGTCATAGGGTGCTGGCAGATTACGGGCCTCCCATAGCTGCTGCCAGGCCCCTAATCTGCCATGGGCCCCTGTACCGCCTCCTCATGCTGCTGCCAGGTCCAGAGTCTCTCATGGGTCCCTGTACGGCCTCCCATTGCTGCTGTCTCCATCGCCACACTCTGCCATGTGCCACTTTCAGGTCTCCTCACACTGCTGGTGTGTGTTCCATTTTTTGTCATAGGGTGCTGGCAGATTACGGGCCTCCCATAGCTGCTGCCAGGCCCCTAATCTGCCATGGGCCCCTGTACCGCCGCCTCCTCATGCTGCTGCCAGGTCCAGAGTGTCTCATGGGTCCCTGTACGGCCTCCCATTGCTGCTGTCTCCTCGCCACCATGTGCCACTTTCAGGTCTCCTCACACTGCTGGTGTGTTCATTTTTTGTCATAGGGTGCTGGCAGATTACGGGCCTCCCATAGCTGCTGCCAGGCCCCTAATCTGCCATGGGCCCCTGTACCGCCTCCTCATGCTGCTGCCAGGTCCAGAGTCTCTCATGGGTCCCTGTACGGCCTCCCATTGCTGCTGTCTCCATCGCCACACTCTGCCATGTGCCACTTTCAGGTCTCTCCTCACACTGCTGGTGTGTTCCATTTTTTGTCATAGGGTGCTGGCAGATTACGGGCCTCCCATAGCTGCTGCCAGGCCCCTAATCTGCCATGGGCCCCTATACCGCCTCCTCTCATGCTGCTGCCAGGTCCAGAGTCTCTCATGGGTCCCTGTACGGCCTCCCATTGCTGCTGTCTCCATCGCCACACTCTGCCATGTGCCACTTTCAGGTCTCCTCACACTGCTGGTGTGTTCCATTTTTTGTCATAGGGGTGCTGGCAGATTACGGGCCTCCCATAGCTGCTGCCAGGCCCCTAATCTGCCATGGGCCCCTGTACCGCCTCCTCATGCTGCTGCCAGGTCCACAGTGTCTCATGCCATGGCCTCCCACATGCTGTCTCCTCGCCACACTGCATGTGTTCAGGTCTCCTCACACTGCTGGTGTGTTCCATTTTTTGTCATGGGCAGATTACGGGCCTCCCATAGCTGCTGCAGCCCCTAATACTGCCATGGGCCCCTGTACCGCCTCCCATAGCTGCTGCCAGGTCCCCTAATCTGCCATGGGCCCCTGTACGGCCTCCTCATGCTGCTGTCTCCATCGCCACACTCTGCCATGTGCCACTTTCAGGTCTCCTCACACACTGCTGGTGTGTTCCATTTTTTGTCATAGGGTGCTGGCAGATTACGGGCCTCCCATAGCTGCTGCCAGGCCCCTAATCTGCCATGGGCCCCTATACCGCCTCCTCATGCTGCTGCCAGGTCCAGAGTCTCTCATGGGTCCCTGTACGGCCTCCCATTGCTGCTGTCTCCATCGCCACACTCTGCCATGTGCCACTTTCAGGTCTCACACACTGCTGGTGTGTTCCATTTTTTGTCATAGGGTGCTGGCAGATTACGGGCCTCCCATAGCTGCTGCCAGGCCCCTAATCTGCCATGGGCCCCTATACCGCCTCCTCATGCTGCTGCCAGGTCCAGAGTCTCTCATGGGTCCCTGTACGGCCTCCCATTGCTGCTGTCTCCATCGCCACACTCTGCCATGTGCCACTTTCAGGTCTCCTCACACTGCTGGTGTGTTCATTTTTTGTCATAGGGTGCTGGCAGATTACGGGCCTCCCATAGCTGCTGCCAGGCCCCTAATCTGCCATGGGCCCCTGTACCGCCTCCTCATGCTGCTGCCTGCCAGGTCCATGGGTCCCTGTACAGTGCTGTCTCATGCCATGTGCCACTTTCAGGTCTCCTCACACTGCTGGTGTGTTCCATTTTTTGTCATAGGGTGCTGGCAGATTACGGGCCTCCCATAGCTGCTGCCAGGCCCCTAATCTGCCATGGGCCCCTGTACCGCCTCCTCATGCTGCTGCCACCACAGTGTGTCTCATGCACTCTGCCATGTGCCACTTTCAGGTCTCCTCACACTGCTGGTGTGTTCCATTTTTTGTCATAGGGTGCTGGCAGATTACGGGCCTCCCATAGCTGCTGCCAGGCCCCTAATCTGCCATGGGCCCCTGTACCGCCTCCTCATGCTGCTGCCAGGTCCAGAGTCTCTCATGGGTCCCTGTACGCCTCCCATTGCTGCTGTCTCCATCGCCACACTCTGCCATGTGCCACTTTCAGGTCTCCTCACACTGCTGGTGTGTTCCATTTTTTGTCATAGGGTGCTGGCAGATTACGGGCCTCCCATAGCTGCTGCCAGGCCCCTAATCTGCCATGGGCCCCTATACCGCCTCCTCATGCTGCTGCCAGGTCCAGAGTCTCTCATGGGTCCCTGTATGGCCTCCCATTGCTGCTGTCTCCATCGCCACACTCTCTGCCATGTGCCACTTTCAGGTCTCCTCACACTGCTGGTGTGTTCCATTTTTTGTCATAGGGTGCTGGCTGGCAGATTACGGGCCTCCCAGCTGCTGCTGCCAGGCCCCTAATCTGCCATGGGCCCCTGTATGGGTCCCGCCTCCTCATGCTGCTGCCCATCCACAGTGTCTCATGCCATGTGCCACTTTCAGGTCTCCTCACACTGCTGGTGTGTTCCATTTTTTGTCATAGGGTGCTGGCAGATTACGGGCCTCCCATAGCTGCTGCTGCCAGGCCCCTAATCTGCCATGGGCCCCTGTACCGCCTCCTCATCATGCTGCTGCCAGGTCCAGAGTCTCTCTCATGGGTCCCTGTACGGCCTCCCATTGCTGCTGTCTCCATCGCCACACTCTGCCATGTGCCACTTTCAGGTCTCCTCACACACTGCTGGTGTGTTCCATTTTTTGTGTCATAGGGTGCTGGCAGATTACGGGCCTCCCATTGCTGCTGCCAGGCCCGTAATCTGCCATGGGCCCCCGTACCGACTCCTCATGCTGCTGCCAGGCCCGTAATCTGTCATGGGCCCCTGTTGTCGCTTGTTGGCATTTCCGCTCGTTCAGATGCTCCTTCTCTGCTACTGCCCTCTTCACGGATTCCGTCAGCAGTCTTTCTTGGAATCCGTTTCCAAGAGACAACAGTTTGCGAGCACGCACCCGACGGTGCAGAAGCTGAACGTCCTCCTGTCCAAGTTGCTGCTGCCAGGCTCGTAATCTGTCATGCGCCCCTGTACCGCCTCCTCATGCTGCTGCCAGGTCCAGAGTGTGTCATGGCCCCCGTACCGACTCCTCATGCTGCTGCCAGGCCCGTAATCTGTCATGGGCCCCTGTACCGACCGGGCCTCCTCATGCTGCTGCCAGGTCCAGAGTGTGTCATGGGTCCCTGTACGGCCTCCCATTGCTGCTGCCAGGCCGTAATCTGCCATGGGCCCCCGTAGGTACTCCTCATGCTGCTGCCAGGCCCGTAATCTGTCATGGGCCCCTGTACCCCGCCTCCTCATGCTGCTGCCAGGTCCAGAGTGTGTCATGGGTCCCTGTACGGCCTCCCATTGCTGCTGTCTCCATCGCCACACTCTGCCATGTGCCACTTTCAGGTCTCCTCACTGCTGCTGGTGGTTTCCATTTTTGTCATAGGGTGCTGTATGGCCTCCCATTGCTGCTGCCTCCACCGCCACACTGTGGCTCCACACTCTGGTTTTGGCCCCGTGACTGCCCAAATGAGTGAAGTGTGCGGTGATTCTAAGATCGACGGCACTCATCTGCATGTCATACTGACTTATTTCTCTTCCCCAGCAGACTCCAAGGGCATTTAAATTAAAGGTACAGTGTTCTGCACTAATATAAAGGCTCTCTGAAGCCTAGAAACACCCTTTTATAAGTTAAATTTGCAGCGAATATATTCGACTCGAATCAAATTTTTTTCACGAATTCGCCGAATCAGTCGAATTGAATTTTTGAATAATTCGCTCATCTCTAGACACCATGTAATGGGAAAAGAAACTGCTTACATATTAAATGTCTGGGCAAGGGTAGTGCGTAGAGGTAGTCCAAGTAAGGATAGTAACAAATAAATAAGGAATCAGTGCATACAAATTCCCCAATTCCTAATGACAGAGGGCACTGAACAACATTCATAATAAGGTCCAATGACATATACATCCAGAATCTCTCCCCCAGTGCTGACTACGGCTATCACATCGAGGACGCAGTCATGTCCTCCATCTTTATAACATATGCCAAAGCCTTCTTTTTTCTTCTCCATCATGTGAGTGTTTCTTATTGTGTTCCTCAATAAATGTTCTACATACTGCACTTAGAGGCACTTTTATTTCTCCTTTTTACAGGTAAGTGTAGTGCAGAGTGCAACTGCTATGTGCAGAGTACATTTACCATTAACAACCAATCATAAAATAGGTCCCTATAATCAGGCAATGAAATGATTGGTTGTTAGGGTTAAATACAATTTACACACTGCAGTTGCACTCTGCACTGGTTAAACTCGGTCATCTATATATTATTGAAATACATTTAACATTTAAATAAATTATCTGAAAAACTTTGCTAAGGGAAGAGAATAGAAAGAAATTTTCCTGTCACAGTTCTCAAATTGATGCTTTGAAAAATGAATTTACTAGCACAGCTTTCACACTGCTATTACAAAATCCTCCCTATGGTGCTTCAACTCCCATTTTGTTTTATGATTGATGATAACAACGGGAGATTAGATCTGCATTAGCGGCATTACACCCTTCCATGATTAACTATGATACCATTTACACATGCTCCAAAAATTTTGACACCAGGCTTCCAAAAAAAAAAGCATTAAATCTCAGCTTCCCATCTTCTTTCCTCCCTTCAACTATGATCGGGATGATGGCACTCCTGAATTTTAATATCCTTTGAGATGATACTTTTTTTTCTTACCATAGCTGGGAAATGAAAAGTTTGCACATTAGGTGACTGACATTCAAAGTCTTGTTTCTTATTGAGTAAGTGAGTCACACACTGGCTCGGTGATTTTCAGCAGCCGGAATATTTCATATTCTATTGTTAAATTATCCTGACGTAATTAAAGTGAACAAAGAAACATTCAGTGTGAGCTGGAACCTGAATCAATCACCTTTTAGCTTGTACAGGATCAAACGGTAGCAATTCTGTTATATTGCTGTTCTAGATTTCCCAACCAAATTAAATTTGAGCATTGGAAGAGTCAAGAAGATATAACAAAAACAAAGTATGTCAACTTGTCTTGCAGCCCCCCCCATGCCCAAAATAAAAATTATGCCAATCTCACCACTTTGCCAA